AAATAACATAAGAATTTTATTAGGGGTTATTTTAATAAATTCATAAAAATAATACCTACAATTCATACTAATCAATGGAACTGGCAATGCTTCATAGAAAATTTTGGCATGAACTTTCTGCCTATTTAACAATGGAAATTGTTCTAGTTATAAAGATAATTGGAGGGAAGAAATGAAAATTATAATTACAGTTCCTGTTACATTTGTAGTAAGGGGAATGAATCAGAATGCAAATTTCAGATCAGAGAGGTCATCCATTGGTATCTCTAGACCCATGGCATCATCAATGTCTTGTAAGCCATCTAATTCATTCAACCAGGAACCCAGGTCTTGGTCTTGGTTCCCGCCCAGTTCTTCAGCTACATCTAGTTCATTCAACTTGGAAAAATCAATGGGTTCACCAGCATCTTTGGTTGAATTCCGAGGAAAGTTACTCATGGACGTTGACCTCACTTCACCTGACTTGTTGCTAGCATTAGCCATTGACTGCTGACTAGATCCGCCAGCATCTGGATAACCCGGTTGCACTCCATTCCCTGAAGTTGATAGATTGCTGTTCTTTTGCTTAGGCTTTGTTTTTGCCTTCCGTTCACTCTTGAAGCTGTCCAATGATGCACCAGCTCCTGATACAGAACCATTTCTCAAGTTTTCTCTGCTTTGATCCCTCTCTCTCTCACTCCTCTTCCCCCTAATTCCGACGTTAACATGGCCTTCAAGAGACGATGTTATCCTCGATGAAGCACTACCTACAACATCATCGATCAGCACTTCCCTCTTCCTCTTCAACATAAATCCATGTCTAGAAACACCGTGTTCAGATGAGTGGACAGATGGAAGAGCATCTGATGAGTCATATCGCTCAAAAGTACTAGAAACAGCACCTGATAAGGCAGTCAAATGAACATGAATAAGCCATGCTCAACAATCACATCAAATACAATTCAGTTTTCTTTATGGAATCCCCCTATTCCTAGTACTGTGTAATGTCTTCGAAGCAAAAAGACTTCAGAATATGCTTAAAATCTCACTAAGGGTATTATAGAGACCTTAACTAACATCAAACAAAGTGAACATTAAAGTTTGAATTCCCATACCTGATGCCCTGGCTTCTGTTTGTTGGTTAGAAGTTTCATTAAATGTATTACTAGCAGTTCCTGAGCCAACACAGTCCGTAGATTTTGCATCATTGCTGCAAGGAGGTGCAGCAAACATAACATCTTGTAGTACAGGATCACTAAAACAACTAATGCCTGCCTCTTCAAATTTCCGGCATCTAGCAAGAGTTCGATTGATAAAAGCCAATGCAACTTGTTTTGGAACCTTACGAACTGCACTCTTTGATGAATTACCACCACGACATGGCTGCATAAATTAATTTAGTATAAGATCAACTACAGTTTTAATAAATAAAACTCACTTGAAATCAGTCAGATACAAAACAATAGACCATTCTCCCGAAGGTTATTGCTGTTCCTCATTTCATTTCGTTTCAATGGAGATGCAATAATTGCTACTAGTTGTATTACAATCCTGGTTGGCAGTTTCAGATTGAAAATTTCTTGGCTTGGGCTCAGCTTCTTTTCTGTTTGCCCTTGAAAGATTAAGCTTCAGCTTGGTTCAAAACAAACTTTGCAAAGGCTCAAAAAACTACCACATATTCCTAAGTCATAACCCCAGTCAACTGCAATTTGTAGCTTGTCCACAATCAAAACAACAAATTTTGGACATGTTTATATACATAACAGCTCTTCCCTCATTTTTCTGGTAAATAACTAAATAATTTATTTACATTAAGAGAACAGTTCTCTAAGGTTCTGTGTACTTATCAATAATTCAAGATCAAGCAATTATCCAAGGAAATATGGAAATTACCACACGTTTTCTGTAAGCAATCTGAATTAATTGGTCCATTGCAACATGCTCAACATTCCTGCAGATTAAACCACATCATCTTAGTCCAAACACAGATCATTAGAACTTAATTAACAAGACTTCAAAATTATTAGTTAATCTCACCTCCTTTCCACATCTCTGTTGTTCTGAATGGCTTTATCAACTTTCCCCAGCTTTCTTTTCTTCATCTGAACCTGCAAATTAAAAGAAATAAATATATAAAAACAAATGACCAAACATCGGAACAAAGACTTAAATATAAGTTGTTCAATCAATATCAAGACAGACTTTTCAAGATAGAATTATTTGTACATACAGTATAAATAGCTGTTGCACATACCAGATATACCATAGGATATGTACAACTCAGAATCTATGGTACGATATATACTATTTATATGGTATGTGGAAATGGAAATATGGAACATGTACTTTTATACACTCCTTTCCCCTTTTTGGCCAGCTTTATAGATTCTTGTTTAAATCACCTAAATCATATGAGTTTGTGAAAACAATAAAAGTAGGGAATAACAACCTGTTGGTAAAGTTGTTCATTAAGTTCCATAACCTTTTGGTTTATTGCTTCCTCCCCTTCTGCTAAATCAGGCTGCAAAATGATATAAAATATCAACAAACAACTTTGATGACATTTCTGAGAAAATTGAATCCCAAGAAAACTACTCCCATAAAACAATTATTTAAAAGAAAAATAAGAATCATGCCCCTGGAATCATACTAATCAGTCTGCTAAATAAAAAGCATACCAATGTCTCTGGATATAGACCAATGCCGTGTAACTCCAGCAAAATCTTCTCATCCAGACTCATAAACTGATATTGGATGTCAGAGGAAGAAACACTGAACACATTTGTTTCCTTAGATTGTGGATGAGCAGGATCATGTGAACATATTTCACTGATGGGCCCCACATCTGAATGTGAAAAACCGTCATCTCCTAACCACTGTTCACTACTATGCAATGAGTTAGACATGCTAGAATTCCTGAATGTGTTAGAGGCAACACTGATATTGCAAGAGAGTCCATCTAAAAAAGAGCTCTTCTGAGACTGAAAATCTGCATTTGACTCAACTTCTGATTCCATTTTGTCCCTATCTTTGGGTTCAATGTCTAGCTGGTTACATGAACCACAATGTGAATCATCACTTGCATAGTGTAAAGACATGCTCTTCCCTTCAAAATGATGGTAAAATTCATCATTTTCATCTTCTTCAATCAAAGCAGAAAGAACTCTTTGATATAGTGGAGTAACCTTGTCCAACTTCTTGATGTCAACCCTTCCTTCAGAATTAGCTTTTGCTGATCCTTCACCATAACAGTTAGGAGTTTCCTTCTGCGTTAAAACACCCTAAGGAATAAAAGGAGCTCAAAATCAATCAATATCGTTAGCAAGTTTGACCATATCAATTTTCACTTGTTAGTTGTTCCAATATTATCAAACGAGTTTTTTGGCAGTTTACAATGGAAAAAAGGGTTTATTTGCATTAAAAAGATGAAATAACAAAGCTTACCAAAACATTACATTCAGCCCCAAATATCTGGGACAAACTCTCATCACGATCCTCTGCTGAACTCAGCTGATGTAACATCAACCAGAAAAGAAAATTAACTGTCTAATCTAACCAAGAGTATCAATAACAATAAAAACATATGTCAGCTTATGCCAGTTGGTACCTGTTGCTTCAGGCGAGATGCATCCTCCAAGCTGATATTGGCAAAAATCAATTCCATTTTCTTCCAGAATGAACCAGAACAAGCAAGACCTACAGAAACAATTTTGTTAATTGAGAGCAAGTAAGAGCTACATTTAAAGAAGAGAAAAATTCTTCTTTTTTTTTTTTTTTTTTACAATTTTGTGTTTTGTTTTCGCATTTTATAATTTTTTTTTTGATTTTCTTGATTAATTTC